CCCAACAATAACTACCCAAAGCACTTAAGTTGTCAACAACATTAAACATTACGGGAAACACTTTCCCGCTACGTTTTGGAAATAAAATCTCACTTATCCCTACCAGGAGGTAAAGGCTACAAAAATGAGAACAAGGAATCTTCTTCTTTTGTTTTCGCATTAGAATTTTGTATATTGAATTCAATTCCTTTGTTCCTTTGCCTATGTATTTCACACATTCACTATTGCCCAGCTCTTCCTTTAAGTTAATGTTTGCACCATCTGTACTCAGTCCCAACCCTAAATAAATATCATTTTCATTTATATTCAAAACTTTATTCCCAACTAAAAAACCACTACTACAGTCGTCCCACTTACCCAATAACTCACTCAGTATATTTCTACCTACTTTAACATTGACATTGACATCTAAAAACCAAGCAAATGGAGTTGTCGCAATCAATGATCGATGCTCCTTTGTTAAGCGTTCGTTCAAAGTACATATATACTTTGTCGAAAAAGAGTGACGAACACTCAACTGCATAAACCAAAATCAAATCATCAAAACAACGAAACCCAATAACCCAAGCACCACAACCCAACGATACGAACCCCAAACATTAACCCAAATCAAATAACCATGCTACGAGATGCCCAAACCGAATAACCAAGCTACGACATGGAATGGAAAACCACTTACCTTAGTCGTCGGACAATCGTCACCAGAACTTGCCATTCCGCACGATAACAAGACACCAAACTGGCCGGAGACAACACGATGCAAATGGAACGAAGCGAGACGAAACGCGACCTTCGACCTATCAAGAGAACGGACCTTCGTTTGCAATGGAACAGAGAAAGGGAAAGGGGTATTTTAGGATTTTCACTCAAAATAAGGGTTACGGTCATAGGTTTTTTTAAAAAAAATTTTTTTAAACGAACCAATGAGGTGGCGACACGTGGCGTTGTCAAAATAGTGTTAAAAATCCGTTGTTGGAATATCGCGGTCCGGTTTGAAAAGAGAAGTTCATTTTGGCAAGAGAAATCTAGAGAACCGTCCCCTCTCCCACCCACCCAGAAGCGTGCCTCTTCCCACAAGCATGTTGTCGGAGTTTGAAGTCCGTCGGAGTGCCGCTGTTGACCGCAACGTTCTACCCTCGTCCCTCCTAGCCACCGACAAGCGTTCCTCTTCCCACAAGCATGGCCGCCGTTGTCGGAGTTTGAAGTTGATCGGAGTGTAGAACCATCGCTTGACGGAGTTTTGACCGTTCCGCAAACCGACGCATTCTTAGGAGCACATTCCGCTGCCATTTCGACCTTTGGAAGCAACGACCATCGAAAGTGCCACCTTTCCGCCGTTGGACCGTTTTTTTTGGGCAATCGTTTGTTGTTATTCGGTGGATTTTGAGTTGTTTTATAATTTCTTTTACCATTTAGAGGTTTTGTTGTTTTATGGGTTGTTTAACCTTATTTGGTGTAGTGTAATGGAGGAACTTGATCAACAGAGTGAAGTTTCTCATAGCAGGAAGAAGGTATGTGGGGTGATATTAGATTTGCATAGATTAAGGGTTTTTATGTTATTAAATGGAGTTTATGTCATGAACTTCCTTCCATCATTATGATTTCAATATAATGTGTTTGACTATTGAATTGAATGGTTTGTATGGTAGTGATCTAAACTATTCTCCTTGATTTCTAACCTTTTAGTTATACCAAAATTGTACCAAACATGGAAAAGGAACTAAATGCCCCACCATTGCTAAATGACAGTGGGTTTTTCTACAAATTCCCATAGGCAATTTGTGAAGGAAAGCCTGTAATGGAAGATCCATAGCCTGTAATTACATGTTTATTTGTCAGAAATTTGACCATCCACAATTTATAATTCTGTTTTGTAGGGCATAATTCAATTAAAAGAGGAGTAAGGCCAGGTATGTACTTCATCTTTTAGAGTATGAACTTCTGTTATCAAAGCCAAAAAATAAATGATTGTGTGACTTGTGTCATTCGGGAGTTGAAATGATGTTGTGTTGGTTCAAAAATAAATAATAAAGATAGATGGTGGCATGATTTTATTCTGGACTGAAGTACTTCATATAGGTTCTGGATGTGCAAATTTGTTTTGGAAAGGAACCTTTAGTTCTATGTAGTTTTATTGGACGTACTAAGTGCTTGACCAGCCAGTAAGAAAATAGTTTTGTGCTGTCAAGTTTCTTCTAAGTAATATGTTTTGCTTTAACTATGTGCAATTTTAAAAAGAGTTGTTAGTAGTTTTCAACTGCTGAAATATCCTTGTGATGTTTTAAAATTTCAGAACCTATTTTCAAGTTTTTACTTAAATTATGTTCAACATGCTAGTGCAAGAGTTCTGAATTATGTGTTGTCATTGTACTTTGCATTTCCAAGAAATTGGTGTTTAGTTGATAAATGTCTAAGTTATTGAATGATTTTATAAGAAACTGACGCAGTAAAATGTTTCATTAGAAGCTAACTTAGGAAAATGGTTATGTTGCAGTAGTGATATTTGTGATTGGTTAAGTTTATGCCAACATTTTGGAAGTTAAGATATGCAAGATTTTGGATAAGTGTTTAAGTGTTTTTAATTTTTTTTCAAGCTTATCTACAATTCACGTGTCTATGTAAAGTGGTGAACATGCTTACATATTTTATATAAATTCTTTAATGTGTATGACATGACTATTTTGTTGATGACTCTAGGCCATGCTACGATCATAACTTGTGAATTAGATTTCTTTAAATTCTATATCCTACAAACAATTCCCTTACATTAATTCCTTTTTAGGTGCTCAATTTCACTTCTTCATGCTTTATAATTTTTCGTCGAAATGTTCTTATGCAAGGGTGGATAAAATCTACTTTTCATTTGATTGACACAGAACAATATATTTGTTCTCATATTCCTTGCATCTAATAAAAACCAAGATATTAACGCAACTTGTTTTTATTTCATCAATCTTAACCTTTTATCTGCATGAAGGTAAAATAACCTATAACCTCATCATGGTTCTTAGATTATAGGTTTTATAAATTTATTATGCTTTAACATTTATTCTCCCCCAATATAATTTATTTCATATTTAAAATAATTATCACCAAAAGTGGATCTATAAATCAATTTGGCGGGTCTGAAGTTCATCAGAGGTGCTTTGGCTAAGAGATCAGTGAGTAGTTCGTGATTTGAGGAATGTGTTGGTGCAATGTATTTTATATTTCGTGTTTTATATAATGAAATTTGTTAATTTTTTCAGGTTATTGTTGATGTTGGGGTGTTGAAAGAAGAGCTTTGTTATGGTATGGTCAAAGAAGTTGTTCGGAAATTTGGTGTGCCATTTAATAAGCAAAATAGAGGAGATAAGGAGAAAATAATTTGTGTTGTAGAAGAACAAATGCGGGTTATTACCGACATGAAAAGTAATATTCATGATTTAAGAAAGTTGGTTGAAGCCAAAAATGAAGATAAAAATCAAGAGTTTGGGGAGAAGGCATTTTGTGGAAGTGAAGATCCTTGTCAAAGTACGCCAGTTCAACATCAGCACCAAACCCCAGGGTTTAAACGTCTGGATGAATGAAGCAAAACACAATGTATGATCGAATGAAGGTTGTACCTCGAAGATGGTTCAAGAGTTGGGCGAATAGAACTTCATTTACCGTAGATGGTAGAAGAAAAGAATGAGTAGTTGAATAATTTGTAATGATTTTTAAATGTTAAGAACTTCAGTTGATGATGTTCAAGTAAAATAAGAAATGTAAATGTTGGTTAATATGTTGATGTACAAAGAATTGTTCTTTCCCATTAATTTGAATTTCATTGTATGAAAGTGGTTGAATGAGATTTGTTTTATGTTTGTTGACATGAAATGAAGTTGTTACCCAAGTATTTGAAGTTAGTTGGCCAACAAAATAAGGAGGTCTTTTATGTTCATGTTTGGTATTATATTGACACATTTAGTTGATTTTGTAAAGTTTGGAAAAATATAACAAAGTTCATTATGGAACTTAAGGTCTATGTTATTGATGATGTAGACCAATCTTGTTGAAATGAAGTTTGTATGGACATGATACCTAGTTATTTTAACTTTGGTCCTAAAGGTGTATTTCAAGCATGTTTTGTTGATCTTAGATCATGGTTGTTGAAATTAATGGAGTGTGGAAATGAAATTTGATTTTTTAAGACCGCAAATGATTAGAGGAAGTTAAAATTAGAAAAAAAAAGTGTCTGACAAGTGATTACGAGCATCGTGTAATGGATTAGCGATTACCAAAAAAAGTGTCTTTGGTAATTGATTATGACCATGTTGTAATCGATTAGCAGAGTTTATAAAGAGTTCAAATTGGGTTAAACTCCCTGATGTGCAAAAGCCAAAACGCAAGTCCCCAGTTATTTCAACTATGGTCCCTTAGGTATTGTCAACACTCAATTTTGTCCGGGTTGAAAAAAAGAAGTGTTTTTATTGGTTTTTTTATTTTATTTTACCTTTTTGTTTTATTCTATTTTTATGTATTTAGATTTTTGCTTTTAATTCAATTTTTACTTTTCTTATCTTCAATTTTGTTTTAATAGAGTTAATAATTAAAAAATTAAAAAATGAAATTAAAACTGAAAATAAATAATAAATAAAATAAAAATTAAAAAAAAGGGGAAAATAGAAAACGTGGGAAATGGGTATGTGAGACGTGTCTGGGGTGAGGGGGACCAGGTGGTTAGAAAGGAATATTTCCCAAGATTTTGGGAGGGGATTTTGTGGGGATCAGAGAGAGAGAATAGAAAGGAGGAGGGCATACGGGGAACGATCAGGCGGGAATCATCACCCAGATTCACCATCTTTGGACCTGAAGAAAAGAGAGACGCCAGCAAAAGGAAAGAAAGGATTGGAGACGCAAGGTTGGCAAGAGTAATAGAGAGGTAAGTAATATCTAACACTCCAGGGTCTACTCCGATTGTTGTTAAATTTGTATGTGAATATTGTTGAATGCGCTGGATATTTGTATATGCTCATTATCACCAAACATCTTCAATCTTCACCTCCAACACTTGATTTCCAATATCCATGATCATCTTCATTCCCTGCTGCATATTCCACCCATCATCACGGTCTCGCAAACTTGGTACTCCTCCATTTACTCAACCAAACCTCATTCCCTCATTCACTCATCAACCATNAAGTCCGTCGGAGTGCCGCTGTTGACCGCAACGTTCTACCCTCGTCCCTCCTAGCCACCGACAAGCGTTCCTCTTCCCACAAGCATGGCCGCCGTTGTCGGAGTTTGAAGTTGATCGGAGTGTAGAACCATCGCTTGACGGAGTTTTGACCGTTCCGCAGACCGACGCATTCTTCGGAGCACATTCCGCTGCCATTTCGACCTTTGGAAGCAACGACCATCGAAAGTGCCACCTTTCCGCCGTTGGACCATTTTTTTTGGGCAATCGTTTGTTGTTATTCGGTGGATTTTGAGTTGTTTTATAATTTCTTTTACCATTTAGAGGTTTTGTTGTTTTATGGGTTGTTTAACCTTATTTGGTGTAGTGTAATGGAGGAACTTGATCAACAGAGTGAAGTTTCTCATAGCAGGAAGAAGGTATGTGGGGTGATATTAGATTTGCATAGATTAAGGGTTTTTATGTTATTAAATGGAGTTTATGTCATGAACTTCCTTCCATCATTATGATTTCAATATAATGTGTTTGACTATTGAATTGAATGGTTTGTATGGTAGTGATCTAAACTATTCTCCTTGATTTCTAACCTTTTAGTTATACCAAAATTGTACCAAACATGGAAAAGGAACTAAATGCCCCACCATTGCTAAATGACAGTGGGTTTTTCTACAAATTCCCATAGGCAATTTGTGAAGGAAAGCCTGTAATGGAAGATCCATAGCCTGTAATTACATGTTTATTTGTCAGAAATTTGACCATCCACAATTTATAATTCTGTTTTGTAGGGCATAATTCAATTAAAAGAGGAGTAAGGCCAGGTATGTACTTCATCTTTTAGAGTATGAACTTCTGTTATCAAAGCCAAAAAATAAATGATTGTGTGACTTGTGTCATTCGGGAGTTGAAATGATGTTGTGTTGGTTCAAAAATAAATAATAAAGATGGATGGTGGCATGATTTTATTCTGGACTGAAGTACTTCATATAGGTTCTGGATGTGCAAATTTGTTTTGGAAAGGAACCTTTAGTTCTATGTAGTTTTATTGGACGTACTAAGTGCTTGACCAGCCAGTAAGAAAATAGTTTTGTGCTGTCAAGTTTCTTCTAAGTAATATGTTTTGCTTTAACTATGTGCAATTTTAAAAAGAGTTGTTAGTAGTTTTCAACTGCTGAAATATCCTTGTGATGTTTTAAAATTTCAGAACCTATTTTCAAGTTTTTACTTAAATTATGTTCAACATGCTAGTGCAAGAGTTCTGAATTATGTGTTGTCATTGTACTTTGCATTTCCAAGAAATTGGTGTTTAGTTGATAAATGTCTAAGTTATTGAATGATTTTATAAGAAACTGACGCAGTAAAATGTTTCATTAGAAGCTAACTTAGGAAAATGGTTATGTTGCAGTAGTGATATTTGTGATTGGTTAAGTTTATGCCAACATTTTGGAAGTTAAGATATGCAAGATTTTGGATAAGTGTTTAAGTGTTTTTAATTTTTTTTCAAGCTTATCTACAATTCACGTGTCTATGTAAAGTGGTGAACATGCTTACATATTTTATATAAATTCTTTAATGTGTATGTCATGACTATTTTGTTGATGACTCTAGGCCATGCTACGATCATAACTTGTGAATTAGATTTCTTTAAATTCTATATCCTACAAACAATTCCCTTACATTAATTCCTTTTTAGGTGCTCAATTTCACTTCTTCATGCTTTATAATTTTTCGTCGAAATGTTCTTATGCAAGGGTGGATAAAATCTACTTTTCATTTGATTGACACAGAACAATATATTTGTTCTCATATTCCTTGCATCTAATAAAAACCAAGATATTAACGCAACTTGTTTTTATTTCATCAATCTTAACCTTTTATCTGCATGAAGGTAGAATAACCTATAACCTCATCATGGTTCTTAGATTATAGGTTTTATAAATTTATTATGCTTTAACATTTATTCTCCCCCAATATAATTTATTTCATATTTAAAATAATTATCACCAAAAGTGGATCTATAAATCAATTTGGCGGGTCTGAAGTTCATCAGAGGTGCTTTGGCTAAGAGATCAGTGAGTAGTTCGTGATTTGAGGAATGTGTTGGTGCAATGTATTTTATATTTCGTGTTTTATATAATGAAATTTGTTAATTTTTTCAGGTTATTGTTGATGTTGGGGTGTTGAAAGAAGAGCTTTGTTATGGTATGGTCAAAGAAGTTGTTCGGAAATTTGGTGTGCCATTTAATAAGCAAAATAGAGGAGATAAGGAGAAAATAATTTGTGTTGTAGAAGAACAAATGCGGGTTATTACCGACATGAAAAGTAATATTCATGATTTAAGAAAGTTGGTTGAAGCCAAAAATGAAGATAAAAATCAAGAGTTTGGGGAGAAGGCATTTTGTGGAAGTGAAGATCCTTGTCAAAGTACGCCAGTTCAACATCAGCACCAAACCCCAGGGTTTAAACGTCTGGATGAATGAAGCAAAACACAATGTATGATCGAATGAAGGTTGTACCTCGAAGATGGTTCAAGAGTTGGGCGAATAGAACTTCATTTACCGTAGATGGTAGAAGAAAAGAATGAGTAGTTGAATAATTTGTAATGATTTTTAAATGTTAAGAACTTCAGTTGATGATGTTCAAGTAAAATAAGAAATGTAAATGTTGGTTAATATGTTGATGTACAAAGAATTGTTCTTTCCCATTAATTTGAATTTCATTGTATGAAAGTGGTTGAATGAGATTTGTTTTATGTTTGTTGACATGAAATGAAGTTGTTACCCAAGTATTTGAAGTTAGTTGGCCAACAAAATAAGGAGGTCTTTTATGTTCATGTTTGGTATTATATTGACAAATTTAGTTGATTTTGTAAAGTTTGGAAAAATATAACAAAGTTCATTATGGAACTTAAGGTCTATGTTATTGATGATGTAGACCAATCTTGTTGAAATGAAGTTTGTATGGACATGATACCTAGTTATTTTAACTTTGGTCCTAAAGGTGTATTTCAAGCATGTTTTGTTGATCTTAGATCATGGTTGTTGAAATTAATGGAGTGTGGAAATGAAATTTGATTTTTTAAGATCGCAAATGATTAGAGGAAGTTAAAATTAGAAAAAAAAAGTGTCTGACAAGTGATTACGAGCATCGTGTAATGGATTAGCGATTACCAAAAAAAGTGTCTTTGGTAATTGATTATGACCATGTTGTAATCGATTAGCAGAGTTTATAAAGAGTTCAAATTGGGTTAAACTCCCTGATGTGCAAAAGCCAAAACGCAAGTCCCCAGTTATTTCAACTATGGTCCCTTAGGTATATATTTGTTGTTTTTGAAGATCATTTTGTGACTATGTTTTGTTCATGATAGAGCATCCTTGTTGAAATTAAAGGTGTTTGGACATGATACTCAATTTTTTAAGTTGAAAAGCTTTCTGTAGAAGTCAGTCTACCCTGATGTGTAGAATTAATAACATAAGTCCCCACTTATTTGAATTATGGTCTCATAGGTGTATTGAAGGTATATTTCTTGTTTTTGAAGATCATTTAAACTATGATTATGACATTTATATCGAACTTCATCCCCAATGAGTCATTTTTACTACAACTCTTGGTGCAAAAACTGTATTGGTACCAAAGGCTAAATAACCGGGGACTGTAGGCAAAACTTTTGCACACATAGGTCAACTTCGAAAATGACATTGATTTTGAAATGTAAATTTTTTTTAATACTTCTTTGACATACAAGTGATGTTCAGACAATGATTATGACATTTATATCGAACTCCATCCCCAATGAGCCATTTTTTCTAGAACTCTTGGTGCAAAAATTGCATTGGTACCAAAGGCTAAATAAGTGGGGACTTTAGGCAAAGGTTTTACACATGCAGGTCAACTTTGAAAATGACATTGATTTTGAAGTGCAAAATTTTTCTTAACACTTATTTTACATACAAGTGATGTTCAGGCCATGATTATGACATTTATATCGAACTTCATCCCCCAATGAATCATTTTTTCTAGAACTCTTGGTGCAAAAACTAAATTGGTACCAAAGGCTAAATAACTGGAAACTTTAGGCAAAGGTTTTGCACAAGCAGGTCAACTTTGAAAATGACATTAATTTTGAAGAGCAATTTTTTCTTTTAACACTTATTTCACATACAAGTGATGTTCAGGCAATGATTATGACATTTATATTGAACTCCATCCCCAAAGAACCATTTTTTGTAGAACTCTTGGTGAAAAAATTGCATTGGTACCAAAGGGTAAATAAGTGGGGACTTTAGACAAAGGTTTTGCACAGTCAGGTCAACTTTGAAAATGACATTGATTTTCGAGTGGAGAATTTTTTTTAACACTTATTTTGAATAGAATTCATGTTCAGCCAACGATCATGACATTTATATCCAATGTTGTGCTTCTGAGGCAAAATTTTGCACATCTTGGTCAACAAAGTTCATGTCATTCATTTCTAAGTGCACAATTCATTTTTCAACATTTAATGTACATAAAACCCCATACATAGGACATTTAACACACATAATGACATCTACATTTGGTGGAGACTGCAATACAAATGTCTAAGACAAAAAATGATCATTCTTTTATTTAACCCTGTGGTAATCAACATAAGAAATAACACAAAATGGTCATTGTTATCTTCAAAACGATGGAACACATTGAAATCGATACTAAAATATAGTAATCTCAAATTTCATTATCAATAAATGTAAGGAATACATTTCTTTTAACATTTCTAAGAAAAAATATGTACATATACACCTAATGAATACATTTTGAAACAGTTCTAAAAAAACCATAAATCACATTGCAACAATCCGCAATGTACAACATCTACAACAACCCTAAATGTTGCAACATTTCATCCCTCCGCACATTGGCAACATCCAAAATCCAATCACAAACATACTTCTCCCCAGCCTATTGCATTTCCTCCTAAAAACAAAAAAAAATGCACACAAAATCAATAAAATGCCAAATGTTGCATCAAAGGTCCAAACGATCAAAATTTTTATAACTTACACTTGTGTAATTGCACATTGTTTTTCCTTCGTATTTCTCTACACCATTTCACAACTCCATAAATTTCAAAATAATAACTCCACAATCATATCTACATCAAACGAAGTCCAAAATACAAATGATGTAATACTAGTTCAATCAAATCAATAAATTTTATAATAAAAAAAACAGGATTAAAAACTTACGAGTTCGGTTGCATTGGAGTGTGCACGTGTTGGAACTGAAAAGATGGTTTGTTGTCTTCGTAATGATTGAACAAATTTCCAAAAAATAATTCAAGATTATATGCTTGCAAAACAACAAAGTCAACTTGACTTTCCAATAAATCAATTTACAAATACAAAGTACATCCATCAATTACAAGACTTACAATTACAGTGACAATCTTTTTACGTTCTTTTTTATTGTGGCCAATACAGTCCAGTGCAAACATTTCCATAGATGAAATCTTCACGGCGTAGTACCACCAATGTCTGTCATGGATAATTGGGATGAACAACTACAAACAAATAAATGTGTCAACAAATGTACAATAAACCATCAATATTATCTCAAAATACATTGTATGAAAACATTATACTAATATTACATAATATAGCTTATATAATATTTAAAACACAATTACTTTATACTAATATTACATGATATAACTTATATAATATTTAAAGTAACTCTCTATATAATATGAGAATATTATATAATATAAGCTATATAAAAAAAAACGAAACCAAAACCTAATGGGATTATTATTTTATGTATGCACCCCTCCAACAAAATAAAAAAACATTTTCTATTTCTTCAATCTGCACCATACTTCAAAAAATAAAAAAAAAATCATCATTTACTCCTTACTACTACAATTTTTTTTACTGTTGGAACAACCAATTATAGACTTAAACTCAGTCCGTAAAACCCTACACTATAATTTATATATATGTTTACTCTCAAAGAAAATATCTAAAAATTTATCAATTAAACGACTCATAAGCTAAAAAAAACCATAAACACTGCACCAAAATAAACTTCCTGCATAAGCTCCCAGAGAAATATATTACATGACTTAAACCACTTAAATAACCAATTATACCACATCATAAAGCAACGTAAGGATTGCTGAACCAATTCCATTCCCAGCATCGAATGAACATCATAAAAGAATCCAGATATTTTCATATTTTTTGTCTAATCATCGAATGAACATCGAATGAACATCATAAAGCAACGTAAGGATTGCTGAACCAATTCCATTCCCAGCATCGAATGAACATCATAAAAGAATCCAGTGAACAACAACAGTTCGCGGAATGGCCAAAACTCTGTCAAACGATGGTTTTGCTCACACGACGCGCTTCTGCTGGGTGCTCCTTCTCTCTAGGGTTCTCTCCAACTCAAAGTGATATGTTGGTTTTGAAATCCTAAAATGAAGCCCACCACTTGAAACTCCTGCAGCCCTTCATTTCCACATTATTTTTGTTTTTCAATTTCTTGTACACATGGACCATTGGCAATGCGACATGTGGCTGTGTCAAAATGTTGTCAAAATTTGTTGTCAAAATATCATTATCCTTTTAAATATAATCGGTGACATTTTTATAATTAAAATATTAAAAGTTGGCCATTTAAATACATAACCTCAAAAGGCTCTTTGACGTCAACAACCCTAGCTTGACATCTTTTGGTGTCTGTTTGTCCCCTATCCTACGTCTTTCGATGTCTGTTTCCTTATAATCAATGTCGAACTATTTAAAAACATAAAAGAAACAACGCGAACCACATATCTTTTCATTGCTCTTTCGTGCTTTCTTTTCTTACCGACCCAACATGTGTGATGTCCTTGAAGACGTGCACGAAGGTAAGTTTTCCTTCGTTTAAAATCAAATGCAACTTATTTCCTTGCCTTCCTTGGGCTTTTCTTGTGTTTTGGACCGAATGGTTTTTGCACTACAGGTTTCACAAGGCTCCAAGGCTCTCGTTTGCAGTAATGTTGACAAGTACAAAGGTCATCTTCGACTACGACATTGAGCAACTTGTTAATAATGTTGGTGTAAATAAAAAACAGAATCACTTATGCTTTTTATGTATAAATTTGTATTCATATTCAGTAATGAAAATACAAAACATTATACAGTGTACCTGAGTCTTCTCTTCTTCCTATCTTTCTCAATCTTCTGTTATCTTCTTTCTCCCATCCCTTTGTAGCCTTTCTTCTCTTTCTTCCTCTAAAACT